CACACAGAACCCAGAGGCGCAGGTTAGAAGAACTTCCTTTCCCTCAGACAACAGAGTCCATGGCTTCTTTCACACTGGTCCAATGGAAATACAATGTGCTATTTTACTCACTTATTTAACCTACTTTAAGTGTCTGTCAAGATTTAAAATGAACATCTCATATGGTCACCAGTTCTACATACAGAAATATCTCCATCAGACACTTACTGCAACTTTGTTTGCAGCAGCTAAAAGAAGGCCAAGAACTCGTGCCCATCACTAGGGGATGCTTAAATAAGTTATGTGCCAGGTGGACAAATGGGGTCCCATATGCAGCTGTCTTCCTGTACGTGCACAGAATTCCCTGAGGAAAACCATGGCCATGAATCACCTCAGGTAAAGCGGACAGGGTGTCTGGAGCCAGGAGTGGGGGACTTATTGACCCCTGTGTATTACTTGAATAGTTCATCCTTTTCATGTATTATTTACTCGCAAATCGATTTCACAGGAGAAACACGTGTGTTCTTGAAAGGGACAGTCCCACTGTCTTGCTGAGTGCGGGAGCACAGAAGCAGTGAGCATCACGTAACGTTAAAAACACCCCTAGCAACTAGTGAGCAAACAGAACCAGAGGCATGGACACACAGAACAGACTGACAGGTGCCAGAGGGGAGAGGGGGAACTGGTTGAAAGAAGGTGAAGGGATCAGCCAAAGAACATCTGTGCATCACCCATGGACATGGACAACGGTGTGGGGAGCGCCTGAGGGAGCGGCAGGCACTGAGTGGAGGGGGGCAGAGGGGAAAAATTGGGACAACTGTAATAGCATACATAATAAAGCAGATTTTTTTAAAAGAAAGCAGAATAAATAAAAACACAAAAACCAAAAAAACCTTACCCTTCTCTCCCAGGAGAAGCCCACACATTGGGACCTCTTTTTCAGTACAGCCTTTAGTAACCAGACAAAGAGATTTAAGCAAAAAAGTAAAACTGAATGGAGAGGAAGCAGCGAATATCCAGACACCAAAAGAACCCACTGGGTAATGGTGGGCGTGGAGCTGGACCCCAGAGTCCTTTGCAGGCACCAATGTTCTAGAAAGATCTCTCAAAGCTCCAGCATCTCCCGAATCTCCATCAGAAGAGCACTCAAGGCAAGATCATGGAACTCTGAATTATTTCCTCAAAGATTCAATGCTTTTTTCACTTGATTCTTCCTTGACCTCAGGTGGAAAGAACTCTTGGGCCAACTCTCTGACACTTCTGCTGTCAAGGCTACACAGCTCTTTGCCCCAGATGTCCTGAGCATCCCCATCCCTGTAATCCAAACACACCCATGATGTCCACATTTGACTCCGGTCCCCTTCACTGGCTGGCCTGGCACTGTAAGACCCCCAGAGCCAGAGTGGCTCTGATGTCCTGCTGCCCTCTGCCTGAGCCACAGCCCGGCTAGCCATGCCTCCCCACCTGTGTCAGAGAGGACCACCTGCTGGAAGAGATGCTTCCCAGATGCCAAAAACTTCCCTATTATAAGATGAAAGGAACAGCATTCAAAGAGTTCAAACATTCCAGGTACTGTGACTTGGGCCTCAAGCCCAGCAGAGTCCTGGAACAGGCAAAGCTCATAAAATCACTGACCTCACAGAAGCCCAGGAAGTGAGGTGCAATTTGCCCATGTGCCCTTGAGACACAGGACAAGCCATGATTTGGATCAAAGAAAGTGACCTGGTCACATTGCTGTTATCCACCCCCAGCAAAGAGAAATTGGACAGGTTCTCCTCCTGGAATCCAGATAACATCAGCACAGGAGCAGTGAGTGAGATAGTGAAGACATGAACTTGTCCTTGAGGGGGGCATCATGCAGGCTGCCTTCCTGGCGGCTTTCCTCTCTCCTGACCTTTGAAAGCTGAGATGTCAGATATGAGAGAAGCAGAGTTGATTCAATTATTGCTCAGTGATGCATTTTTATTAAGGAAAAAATCATGAGTGGGAACCATGCCTTGATACTATCAAGCTGGCATTCTCATGGAGCGAGAGAAGAAAAGAAAATAAAAGGTAACCAGCTCAAAGACACGGTTTTTACTAGTACATGCATCACAGTCCTCAAAGTGATATGCTGAGTGAAAGACACCTAATGAAGACAGAGCACGCACTTTCGGGCTACAGCTCTACAAAACACTAAGAAATTCAAACTCACGTGCTGGTGGAAAGCAACAGGTCAGTGCGCAGGGGACCGGGGAGCAGAGGCACAGGAGAGGGGAATGCGAGGAGGCACAGGGACCCTCTGGGGCTGGTGGGTATTCACTGTCCTAATTATGGTTGTAATTTCAGAGGTGGATCTATAGGTCAAAACTTGTCACCCTGGCTGATTAATGTAGCTCAGTGGATTGAGCACGGGCCTGCAAACCAAAGGATCGAGGTTCGATTCCCAGTCAGGGCACATGCCTGGGTTGCAGGCCAGTTCCCAGCAGGGGACAATGAGAGGCAACCATACATTGATATTTTTCTCCCTCTCTTTTTCCCTTCCCCTCTAACCAAAATAAATAAAACCTTAAAAAAACTTGTTAAGCCTTACATGTTAAATGTGCAGTTTATCACACAACAATTACACTTTGATAAAGTAACTTTTTTTAAGACCGTTGTTCAAGCTAAGAAACTGAATTGTGAAATCCTCCTCAAAAGTCATCTTGGTTCTTCTATTTCTTGCATATGATGTAATCAAACAGCTCTGACTGACCATGAACCAGCCCAAGGTAAAATTCATGGAAAACAATAAAACCTGCAGCCAAGCAGTCCCCACCCCCACCCCCCAATACCTGCCTTCTGAGGCACAGACAAAGGGCTCACCCTGATGGCTCAGCTCACACAGCTGCCGGCTGAGAGCCGTGTGACCTATATAGCACTGGCCACAGCAGCACTCACCACAACCGCTCCCACTCAGTTAATGACCTCCTCAAAGAGTCAAAGCAGGAAGAGGCTGAGGCAGTGAGTATGTTTTTCTCTGGCCTCCAGAGGTGATCTGTGGTATCCAGCTCATGACAGACAGAAAGAATTGGGCAGAAAGTGCCCATGAGGGTGATACAATCAAACAGATGCCCAAAAGACATGTGTTCTAAAGGCCCTTAAGAGATGGCCTGAACTTGGCTGAGTTTCTCTGGCCTCCACCGTGCCTGCTAAGAAAGAAGAGACAGCAGGAAAAATGACAATTGTCCTAAGCACCTCAAACTCTTTCCATGGACTTGAGTCACATTTATCCATTCTCCACTGCAGCACCCCAGCAATCCCAGGAGCTCCAGGGGGACCCCTGCAGCGATCGTCACCCACCCAGGGAGGAGCATGACCCATTCACCCGCAAGAAGCTCAGGCTTCTTCACAGCCACTCAGATGTCTGACACCTCATCCATCTCCTGTCCTGCCAGACACCAATGCACACCCAGCCTCCTTCCCGCACCTCTTCTGGTGGACTGTTAGGGTGAACTTAACTGGACCACCTCAAGCCCCTCAGTGCTGGCAGGGGTCCCCTGCATGGACTGCTATATCCTTGACCTTCAACAACAGGCAAACCACATGCTACTGGAGCACCTCTGGCCTTTCTCTCTGGGGTGAAGGGTCCCTGGAGCCCTGCTGTGTGCCAGAGGCTCCTGCTGCCTCTGCTCTGAGCAATTCTTCTGGGGTTTGCATCAGTCTTGTACCCGGAGGGCTGCTGAGCATCCTATGAGAACCAGGAGTAGTCTTCAAAGAGGAAAGGGTTAGACTGATAAGTTGGGGAGGGGAGTCCTAAAAACAACTGGAAAGACAAAATGCTCCTTAAGTTTTCTGGGCCCCAGAACGAGAAGAACACCAATTTCTTCTCCCAGACAACATGACATCCTCACTATTTCCGAAGCCAAGAAGCCATGTTCAGTCATGAAAAGGTATAAATGGAAAGAGTTTCTGAATGTGTTGCTGTGGCAGCCAAAAACATGCAGATACGTAACGCCATCAAAAACTTCCCTTTATCTCCCAGAGGAAGTTCAGAGAAACTAAGAAGAGTGATAGGGAAGAAGAAAAGGTGGAGCAGAGCAGGAGTGCACCTGCCCCTAGCTCCAGTGGCTCCGGCTGCAGCTTCTTCAACACAGATTTTCGGAGCCAAAGCACTTGTTGCTGATGGCCTGCAGCAGCAACACCGGAAGTTTTTCCAGCAACACTGGAAGTTTTGAATATGGAAAGTACCCAGCATCTGCCTGAAAGACATGGTCAGGGCTGTAGAATCCTATAAATAGACACAGATCAGAAAAATTCTGGGCTGGGGCACCTAAACAGGCCATGGATTAAGTCTTCTATCACTAAACACAATCACTTGCCACAGACATTTTGTGAGGGGAGACTGGTGACTGGTGCCTGGTGGGAAAGAGAAAGCAAAGACCAATCCTATAACAGCGCATATGAATCCAGAGCCGAAGACCTTGGAGCACCCACAGGGTAGCCTTCTCATGACTGTGCTGGGCTGGTTACACCGACCAGAGTCGTGAGCACTGGAGCTCCGGTCCCGGCTGCCTGGATAACCCTCCCAGGGGGTTTGGTAGGGAACGTGGGGACCTGGGAGAAGAGCAGATGGCAGTTCCCCAAGGAGGACTGGAGCCAGGGCAGTGATGGGATGTAGGAGAGGGATCTGAAGGCTACTTCTGCTGACCTTCCCAGGGGCCTGGGAGCATCCACGAGAAAAGGAGAGGCTGGCACCATGGACGTTGAAAAGGCGTGGGGAAGCTCAAGGGCACAGACGCCTGGGACTGGGAGGGAAGCGCCTAGCGTCACTCACAGGCCTAGCCCTCCAGGCAAAACCTGAGCTCCTGGAGGCGCCCCGCGACGCGGGAACTTTGAGAAGCTACAAAAAAAACGAAGAGGCTGGGGGACAGTTCCCGAATTCGAGATTCGTGGGTCGAGGTCACACGAACTCCAGGGACTACCTCCCTCCGTTTGGAAGGGAGCAGAGAACTGGAGGTGTGGAGGGTTGGGGTGTCTGCAGCCGAGAGGGGTTCCCTCACCTGCGGAGCACCAGGAGACTCAAGACCACCAGCATCAGAAGTCCGAACACGCGGGAGGGCCTCCGCGGGACACTCCACGTGGTCATCCCGAGTTCGCACAACACGCACAGCGCTGGTTCCGGCTCCAGCCAAGCTCTCAGCCGCGCGCCCCAGGCTCAGGGCAGAGACCGCGCCGCTCCCTGGTCGCCTGGGCAACCGGGCGGTGGCCCGCGGCCCCGCCCCCGCACCCCGCGGGGGGCCGGGCTTAGCAGGGGCCGGGCCTCCACCGGGTGTCCGCCAGCAGTTCGCGGCTGCGTAGAGTCTTCTCCTTCCCCCCCGGGTTTGACTAAACCGGGTCTCGGAGGCACGCGAAGTTTCGGAAGCAGTTTTCCTGCACGGAGTATGCAAACACGTGTGGAATTACTGTGCACGTAGTATACAACCAGTCTCTCCCACCGTGCTACCTTAGCAGGCGTGTATTAAAGGCGCCTGCAAAGACAACGCATGCTCCTAAAATAATTCCGAGTGTGAAAAGAAATAATTTTGAAATAGTGACTTATGTGAAAAACCGGGACCGTGAAGAATATCCTTTAGATGTATTTAATGGCTATGTGTGCTTCGCCTTTGAATTATCACGGGGAGCAGAGTGCAGGGAAGTGGGTGGGGGGCGGTTGTGGGGGGCTTAATTCGAGTCATTTTCTCGTCTTAACTCCCAGCACTTTTAAGTTTTCGTTTCTAAAAACTTCAGATAAAACCCTCACATTTTAGAAAAAGACGAATAAAATGATCTTATTCTAGAAAAGAATTATTTCACAAAGCACGTTGTGTAATATTTGGACAAAACTTAGGCTTTGTCACAAACCCAACTTATCCCAAGAACAAAATTCAGATATTACCGAAAGAAAATCTGAACATCTTTTTCGGGAGGCTAATGTGTTTTCAGAGTATCAGGGTTTCTGGAAAACATCCTCCGCTGCATGCCTTAAAACCATTTCCTACACTTGTATGCAGTTTTGAACTTGTAAAGCTGGTAGTAACAAAAAGGGATTTTATTTCTCAAAACAAAACACAGAGTTTAATGTGAAGGGTCTTTTTTCTAGAATTAACCAAATATCCAGTCGAGTATCAAAAGTTAAACCAAGCAGAGGTGAGCAAACAAACAGGTGAACAGGTGTGGGGGGTGGATCTGCAGCAAGGAGGGGCCAGAAACACTCCCAGGCACCCCCCCCCAGGAGCAGGGGCTCCCTCCTAACACCCTCCCCACGATCATTGGTACTTTTTCTTTACATTTTAAGACATATAATTGTTTGACAGTTGTTAAGACCATGATGAAAATATTTTAGTATAATTTGGATAAGTGTTAGCCCATGAGACGTATAGAGAAAATATCAACGGTGAGCCCGCTTTCTACCTGTGGAGTCCCATCCCAGACACACCCTGCCCACATTCACCCTCATTGCTGGCACAAGTGTAGGGGTGGTCTCACACAGTAACAGCATCTTAATATTGTTTAAGTATTAAGAAAAAACATGTTAACATGGGCTATAAAACCCTGACATGCCGATCCCATTCTTGTGTCCTTTGTTTTTATTTGTGGGAGAAAAATATAAATAACTGTGCTTCAAAAAAAATCATTACCCCTTAACTCTGTGGGAAGTGCAGAACTATAGACACACCCTACTTGCTGTTTAAGAACAATTTTACTTTATCTGGACTTCATACCAAGGAAAGTGCTACAAAGATGGCATTAATCTGAGATGACTTTTGCTGAGGACCCAATACTTTTGGTTTTTGCAATATTAGCGAGATACTCTCAAATTACTCTTTTCCATCATGTTTAATGATCCCTGGGGACAGAAGCTACAGTAGGCAAACTGGCCTGATGAGAACACACACACACAGCAGTCCTGCGAGGTGTGGGGGGTGGCGAGGCGTCCCTGGTGCACGGGAATCTCCTTCACAGACCTCCTTTCTGGTGTCCAGGGTTTTGGTACAGAAAAATGAAAGAATTGCTTTTTAAAGAAATGAAGTTATGCTGTTGTTCTCAGCTCACCACACGAAGTCAGGGCTCCAACAGGCCCAGAGAGCATTTTTGGAGAAAATAGTTACTTTCTGGAGAATTCATGCATCCCACATAATCGGTGGGAAATAAAAATGCGCCCTGAAAAGCACGGGGAGAGTAAAAGCTGCAATCATTCAGAATCAGTTCAGTGGACACACTCGAGAAAAATAATGGTGCCAAACCAACCTCACTGGCTGTTTTATTTTCAATAGGTGCCACACAGGTTTATAAGTCACTTATTTATTCATTCACACATCTCATTTTTTAGTGCACTGTGCTAATGCCTTATATATAGTGTATCTGGATTTTAGGAAATATTTGACAAAATTTCTCTTTAAGTCATAAGGACAAAATACAAAATGCAGCTTCTGCGATAGTACAGCCATTTGGGTCCTCAGAGCACGATATAGCAACCTCGTCCTTACCCTGTCCGTGTGAACAGACACCTTGGGACAGCCCTCTCTGCGCACGCTCTCTGGTCCCTTTCCTTGGGATTACAAGAGAAGTCCAGTTATGATGTCAAGTTGTTCAAGAATCTTTTTTCAAAGATTTTATTTATTTATCTTTAGAGGGGAATGGAAGGAGAGAGGGAGAGAAATGTCAATGTATGGTTGCCTCTCATGCATCCCCTGCTGGGAACTGGCCTGCAATCCAGGCATATGCCCTGACTGGGTATTGAACCACGGTTGTTTGGTTTGCAAGCCTGTGCTCAATCCACTGAGCTACACCAGCCAGGGCTGTTCAAGAAACTTGAGCAAAGAAAGTAAGAATAAATGAGGACAGTCGCAAACCAGGACAAAAAAAAAAAAAATACCAAGTCTCAGGAAGATTTGATCTTGAAAAAGAAAAAGGAAAACAGATATATGTTAAGATAAGTAGTGTTAAACAAAAAACTTTCATGGCCAAAATCTTTTAAAAAATTATTTAGGCCATTGTTAGCAACAAAAAAACAAACAGGTGCTTGGAATGCAATGTGAACCAACAGCAGCAGGGCTATTGGATGAAAAAAGGAGTTCCGTGGAAAGTAACCTCCAAGGGTGATCCGATCATAAATTCCTAACTGGGCAGGTCATGGTCCGTACTCTTGCCCCAGGCTCATAGCCTTGTGGTGACAGGGTTACCTTTGCCAGGCTTTCTCTGCATTCAGGTTTTCTCTGCAACCATAAGCACCTTCCGGAAGGCACATAATCTCATCAACTGTCTTGTAATCCAATCCCAGCCTTGCTTTCTCTTACCTCTTGTAATTACAAATGCATAAAAGAAGCTTAAAATCTCCATCGATAGATTTAATACAATCCCCATCGAAACACCAATGGCATTTTTTCCCAGAGCTACAACAAAAGCAGGGGTACCGCAGTACTTGTCGTTAATTCATTGGGCAACTCATGAAGAGCGCCAAAATTGATGAGCAAGTGAGGCGTGATGAAGCGTTTTTCTCTTGCTGGGCGGTGTGTCGTGACTCGTACAAGTTTTAGCGAGTGTGACGAGTTCTGAGCTAGCACGGAGTGCCGAAACACTTTCTTCTTGTCAAAATGCAATGAGTACAGGTTTTGGTGAGTTCTGAAGCCAATGAGTGCCAAGGTGTGACTGTATATAATCATATTAAATGTCAATTATAATTGATAAAATTTTGTTTTAAAACCTGCAAAACTGTTATTCTTTGGAGCATTTGAGATTTTGCTCCTCATAGACCTCATCAGTTTGGCTCAAATAAACTCTTATAGAAATTCTCCACAAGTTTGGACGTTTCTTATATTAACAATGGACATAGTCATGTGGATGTTAATTCAAAGTTCCAACATGCACTAATGAGTGCAAAGAGTACTTTGTTGGCTTTGCCCTGCTGCAGTTGTTAACTGATTAACCTCCATTGTCACTTCCTCCTACTCTCTGGTCTCCTGAAAATGAATTTAGGATGTGTCAGAATTTCCTCCTTTTCAATAGTCAGGTTTTTTCACTCCAAAGGTGCATCAGCGGGATGGAAAGGAGCCTGTGTACAGTGAGATGGGGTGTACCAAACATCCTTGTTGGCCTTGGTAGTCTAAAATATAACTTTTTACCGTCAACCGTTGGAGGGCTGAAAAGCCAGAGACCTAATTCTACAGCATTTTATTCATTAAGAAGGAATCAACAAATGTTTAATTACTTATATATGCTAAACACTATTCTAGGGACTTGGATATATCAATGGACAAAACAGACAAAGATCCCTTTGAAATTTATATTCTAGCTGCAGAAGAAAGACAACAAAAATTAACAAATGAATGAATAAGTTGTAGAGTATGTTCAAAGATAATAAATTCCATAGCAAAAAGAAAGTAGATAAAGGGAAGGTAGATTGGGAGTGTGGTGGGAAGGGGCATACACGGAAGAGTGTATAGCTGTTAATTGAACACAGATCTGAGAGAGGTGGCAGTTAGCCAGGAATGCTGACATTGGAGGAGGGCTCTACATACAGACGGAATCTCTAGTGCAAAGCTATTCAGGCTGGACCGTGACACCGAGTTCCAGGAACCGCAAGGAGGTCCACAGGGGAGGGAAGGGAAGGGCAAGAACTGTAGGAGGTGGGGTCAGAGAAATTCAAGGGCCTCATCGGGTTGGGCCTTTTAGAAGGATCTGTGACCTGCATGAAATGGGGAGCCACTGCAGGCTATGACATTATATCCATTAGGCTTTAAAGACATCTCTGGCTGCTGTATGGAGAATCCCTGGAGTGGGCAAGAGAAAAGATGACCAGTTAAGCTACTGTGGTCATCCATGTGAGACCAGTTAGAGACGATGTCTCAGACAAGGAGGTAACAATGGCAGGGGTATTTCTAGAAATACTTTGAAAGCAAAAACAAGACAGTGGTTGTGATTCCTGGGTTGTTTGTGGGGTAAGAGAAATAAAGAGGACTGAAGAATGACCCCAACGTGTTGGGTCTGAGAAACTGAAAGAACCAGAGCTGCCCTTCTCTGAGATGGAGAAGGCTGTGGGGAATGGGTTCATAGGGGAACATCAGGAGCTCAGAGTGGGCTGACTGAGGTTGAGATACTTCTGAGACTTGCTTTTTTTTTTTAAGAAGGATGTTTTCTGTGTCAACATTTATTTTATTTATTTATTTAATTTTTAAATATATTTTATTAGTTATGCTATTATAATTGT